CTACACTAAATTAGTACATTAATAATGTGAATTAAGATAAAATGAGAAAATCTAAGATTTCCTCCTTTAACTTGTATCAAAGAATCAGGGAAATATTGAATTGCTTAGGCATTTTGCATTTAGCCAGCCAGGGAACACAGTGGCTGTGTAGTATAAGCAATGGACTGTAAACCACAAGGTTCAAGTTTGAGTCTGTCAGCCACTCCACAAGAGAAAGATAAGGTTTTATATTCTTACAAAGGTTTACAGCCTCAGAGACCCTATACAGGGTGGTCACTATGAATCAGAACCAACTTCATGGTATACCACCATGAGTCATAACTGAATCAATGATACTTAACAGTTCCTAAATGATCCAAAATGGAGTCTTCTCATAAGATTTGACTACATATCAATAGAATTCAATTTCAAATTCTTGAATGTATATTTGGACGCTGTGGGTGAAAGCGCTGAATTGCAGTCAGTTTGAACTGCAAGGTTGGTGGTTCAACCTCACTAAGTGGCTCCTCCGAAACCCTACACAGGGTCGCTATAGGTCAGAACTGACTCGATGGTACTTAACAACAACAGTGTCTACTGTAAAAATTATGGATTAAAATTCTTAAACATGAACTATATTACTAAAAAATCATTAAGAATTCATGTTTCCTATGATATATTCTAAACCCTTCAGTGACGGGGCATGTCTTGTTTATTTATCACCATTAAATGCAGCAAATCATATGCATTTTTTTTTTTTCATTTGCGCATACCAGATTCATCTATCCATCGATTTAGTAAACACTTTTTTTTTTTTTTAAATGTGGCCATTTTTGCTGGGCACCATAAAATACTGGTTAATAAAAACAGACATGGTCCTCTCTCTCTTCACAGAACTTTTAACAGTCCAATGGTGTACACAAGGGAATAAATACATAATACATATTGTCTATGTACATTAATTTACAAAATAAAACAAACAAAAAAGCTACTTAGGAGACATGAAAGGCCATTCATTATGAGGAGGGACTAGCCCAAATTTTAAAGGATAAGGAGTCAGTCAAAAGCAGTATATACCAGAGAAGGGCATGAAGCAGGAAGAATTGGCTTATCTAAGAACTTAACAAGCTAGTATGGCTACGGTACAGTATGCCAGGGTTGGTGTGGTGAACTGATTAGGAGTCCTAGCATTCATGTGCCTTGAGTCTGGATTTTCTTCTAGTAAAAAAGGCCACTGAAAAGTTTTCAGTAGGAGTTTGACATAAACCATTCACCTATTTCAATTTTGAAAAGATCACCATGACTGCTAGATGGAAAATATGTTGTGGAAAGGAAGGCAAAACAGGAACTAGAGAAGACAGTTAGCAAGTTACAATAGTCCAATAGTCTAGTCTACAAATAATTATGACCTGGGCTAAAGTGGTGGCAGTAGAGAGGGCACAAAAGTCAGTTAAGAGATATTTTTATGGACAGAAATGATCAGTTTATTTAGAAACTTGGATATTGGTAATGGAAGAAAATTACTCCCTGGTTTCTGACATAGGGATCTGAATTGTTAGTTTCGACTCATAAGGACCCTATGCACAAAAGGAGGAAGCACTGCCTGGTCCTAGTAATGGTTGTTAGACTTGAGCCCACTGCTGTTACCACTGTGTCAGTTCATCTCATTGGCGGTCTTCTTCCTTTTTTCCGTTACCCTCCACTTTACCTAGCATGATGCTCTTCTCCAGGGACTTGACCTTCCACCTGACAAAATCCCCGAAGTATGAGAGACAGAAATCTCACCAGTCTTGGCTCTACGGAGTGTTCTGGCTGTATTTCTTCCAACTCAGATTTGTTGGTTCTTCTGGCAGTCTATGCTAACTTTCAATAATCTTCTCCAACATCTTACCTTAAATGCATCAAAATTCTTCTACAATCTTTCTCATTCACTGTCCAACTTTCAAATGCCTGTGAGGGAACTGAAAATACCATGGCCTGGGTCAGACACAGCTTCGTCTTCAAACTGATCTTCGCTCTTACACACTTCAAAGAGGTTTGCCTAGCACAACACATAATTTGATTTAACTGCTGCTTCCATGAGTACTAATTGTGGATCCAAGCAAAAAGAAGTCTTTGATTTAACTGCTGCTTCCATGAGTACTAACTGTGGATCCAAGCAAAAAGAAGTCTTTGACAACTTCAATCTTATCTCCATGATGCAATTTACTGGGCCAATGGTAAACATTTTTGTTTTCTTTACAATGAGATACAACCATCCTGAAGGCTGTAATCTTTGATCTGAATCAGTTAAGTATTTTAAGTCCTTTTCGCTTTCAGAAAGCAAGGTTATAGCATCTACATATCACAGGTTGTCAGTGAGCCTTCCTCCAATTCCGATGCCATGTTCTTCTTCATGCACAATCCAGTTTATCAGATTATTTGTTCGGCATACAGACTGAGTAAGTATGGTGAAATAATACAGCCCTAGCACAGACCCAGTCTGTTTTTAAACCATTCAGTTTCCCCTTGTTTTATCTGAATGACTGCCTCTTGGTCTCTGGACAGTTTCCTCATGAGCACAATCAAGTGTTCTGGAATACCCATTCTTTGTAATGCTATCCATAGTTTTGTCAACATTCACATAGTTGAAAGCTTTTGCAGTCAATAAAGTTCAAGTAAACATCTATCTGATATTCTCTGCTTTCAGCCAAGATCCATCTGATGTTCAGTTCCACGTCCTCTTCTGAATTCAGCTTGAGTTTCTGACAGTTCCCTGACGATGTACTGTTACAGCCATTTCTGAATTCTCTTCAGCAAAATTTTACTTATATGTAATATTATTGATACTATTAAATAATTTTCACATTCTGTTGGGTCTCTTTGAAATGAGCACAAATATGAATCTCTTCCAATCAACTGGCCAAGTAGCTGTCTTCCTGATTTCTTGGGATGAATGAGTGCTTCCAGTGCTGCATCTGTTTGTTGAAAATTTTCGATTTATATTCCGTTGATACCTTGGGTCTTTGTCAATGCCTTCAGTGCACCTTTCACTTATTCCTTCAGTACCCTTGGTTTTTGATCATATGCTAGCTCCTGAAAAGGTTAAACATAGACCAGTTCTTTTTGATGAAGTGACTCTGTATATTCCTTCAATCTTTCTCTGACACTTTCTGCATCATTTAATATTTTGCACATAGAATCCGTCAATATTGCAAGTCGAGGCTTGACTTTTTTCCTCAGTTCTTTCAGCTTGAGAAATGCTAAGCATGTTCTTCTCTTTTGATTTTCTACCTCCAGGTCTCTGCACATTTCATTATAATACCTGACTTTGTCTTCTCAAGATGCCCTTTGAAATTTTCTATTCAGATCTTTTACTTCCTCATTTCTTCCATTCACTTTAGCATTTCCATGCTGCAAAGCAAATTGCAGGCTCTTCTAACATCCATTGTCTTCTTTTCCTTCTTTCCTTTTTAATGACCTTTTGCATTCTTTCTGTATGATGTTCTTAATGTCATCCCACAGATACTCTAGTCGGTAATTAGCGTCTAATGCATAAAATTTGTTCTTGAGATGGTCTCTAAATTCAGGTGTGATATGTTCAAGTTATATTTGGCTCTGGTGAACTTGTTTTTACTTTCTTCAGCTTGAACGTGCATTATGAGCAATTGATGGTCTGTTTGCAGTCTGTCCCTGACCTTGGTATTGTGCTTTTCCACCAGTTTTTCCCATAGATGTTGTCAAGCTGATTCCTGTACAGTCCATCCTGGTGAAATCCATGTGTACCATCACCGTGATTTTATGTTGTTTAAAAAAGGTATTTGCAGTCAGTAAGTCACTGGTCTTGCAAAATTCTATCATGCAATCAATCTCTGGCATTGTTTCTATCTCCAGCATCATTTCTACTGATCCTTCCTCTTTGTTTCCTACTTTCTCATTTCAATCCCCAGTAAATATTAATACATTTTGATTACTAGTTTGATCAATTTCAGACTGAAAAAGTTGGTAGAATTCTTCGTTTTCTGATTTAACATATCTTATAGCAAGATGTTTTTTAATGAGATGAGGAAGACAACAATAATCAATAGCTCTCTGTTTTGGATATTTAAAATTAGAGATGTCTGTTGAGATGTCAAGCAGTAGGTGGATAAGGAAAATCTGAGACAAGGAACAAGTTAATGTTTACAAATACGTATATGTAAACCAGGGAATACTAAGCATATATACACCATGTGAATAGATAGGAGCAACCAATTAGGTAATTATCAAATTTGTTATGTATACAACTAAAACCTGGCTCAATGAAGATGTAGATCTGTGCTCTAACCTAGAAATTCTGATTCAAGTTGTATCTGAGAATTTGCATTTCTTAAGAAGTTCTAGGGGTGATTCTGATATAGCTGACACAATACATTCTGATAAGTAGTGCTCTAGCAAAAGATAGGAAAGGAAAAAAAGGTCCAAAATGACAACCAGAAAATCCTAATATTTAGAGTCTGGGTAATGGAAAACAAATCTGTAAACGATTATGATTAGGCCAAAGAGGTATAGAAACAAGACAATGGGGGTACTCTAGAAGTCAAGAAAAAGAAACTGTGCTGTCTATTATAAAGCAGAGAGAAAGAAAAGTGATCATTGGTTACAACAATGGAACTGGTCATCTTATAGGAGGAGTACAGACAATAGATTTGTTTATGCAATAAAAGGGAAGTGAGAAAGATAATGACAACTCTAGGAATTTTTATTTTGGAATAGAAAAAATAAATGGTGCAAAGCTGAGGAAGTAAAGAAGATAGGTGTGGAAATTCTGACCTAGACCTGGGATGCTTTCATTATTTAATTTTAAAATTCTGTGTTATACAAAATAAAATTACTTTTTAAAACAACCCCTTCATTTCAAGCTTTAAATATCTCACCTGTACATATCCTCATAAATTTTTTCCAATTTGCACCCCCCAAAAAACAGAACCAAAATTTTAAATATTTCCTTTCCACATAAAAGCTATAACCTCTTCACCCTCTAGCTCTTTATTGTTATTTACCCTTGCAAGATCCTCTATTTCAGAACTGAAGTTTGTTTCTCCTTCCATCATTTCTTCCTCTTCTAATGTTCGTTCATCATCAAAATCATGAACCAGCATGTCAGCTGATGGATCAAATTCATGGTCATCGGATGTTGCTGAACCTCCTGGTAAAGAATATTTTAAAAGTTTGGTAAACCAAATTAAGTATATATTACTAATTATAATTTTATGTATATGCTTTATTTGAAGCTGGATAAAAATCAAATTAACCAGAAATAAGGTACACAAAGCAAGTATTAGATATTGCTTTCTAAAATTCTTGTCCTTTCTCATTGCTCCCTAAAAAACTCTTCTCAAGGGATTCACTCTTACCTTGTACTTCCCCTACATATGGAGTTATGACTGCAAATTTTGTGTGGAGAGAAGAGAAAGACAAGTTTATAGTTTTAAAAAGTGCTACTGTTGTTGTTGTTGTTGTTATGTGCCGTGATCTTTAAAAAATATCCCTCTGGCCCCTGAGAATACAGTCATGTGAAATACACAGACACTCAAATGATTATGCTTTTATCAGTACTTGCATGGAAATAGTCTAATATTAAAATAACTGTTCCTAACTTGAATGTTTTATCTGAATATTTCAAAGAGTACCAAAGTAAAATCACACACAGAACTCTTATCAAAGGTAAGAGCCAGTAGGTAACTGATGCATAAACTAATCTATTTTTAGCATGATGGTTGGAAAATATTGATGTACTCAATAAGATCATGCCTGCAAATGTTGGATAAATATATATTTTAATATGGACTAATGTGGCACTATAGGATAAGAACTAGAATGCATCAAAGTCTCCAGCTGCTCCTCAGGAACCCTATACAGGGGTCACTATAAGTCAGGACAGACTTGACAGCGCTTAACAACAACAAATTATATATATATATATTCACATGGAGTCTTGGTGTGATGCTGTAAGATAGATAAGCACTGGACTACTAACCACAGGCCAGCTGTTCAAACTCCACTAACTGCTCCTTGGACACCCTATACAAGGTTGCTCTGAGTTGGAACCAGACACATAACACCACCATTATATATATATATTTTTATATTTAATATTTAAATGCATGAGCTCATTGAGTACAGGAATATTCTCCAACTAGGTGAAAATTAGATTAGTTTAGGATATTTCCATTAAATCTTAACAAGAGCTGAAAGCCTCATCTTTCTCCTGCTAAGAAACTGGTAGATTCAAATTGCAGATCTTGCAGTTGGCAGCCCAGCTTATCCACTACTCATCAGGGCATTTCTATACACATACAAACAACACATATATAACAAAGGTTCAGCAAAAAAGAGGAATACTCTCAATGCGATGGGCTGACACAGTGGCTCCAACAATGGCCTCAAGCAAAGCAGTAACTGTGAGGATCATGCATGACACCAAGGCAGTGTTTTCATCTTTTGTACCATCATACTTATTTTGTTCTTCAAACTCTCAAAAAACATTTAAAAGGAACACGATTTGAGTCCCTAAAGGGTGCCTGTACCACAGAATTCTTCAGGGAAGGGTTAGAGAGGTGAAAACACCACTTTCAGAAGCATAGAGTTAGAAGGAGGGTATGTCAAGAAACGATTTCATTTTAATAGTTTTGCTTCTGATTTTGTAGCAATACCTTTTGACTGACCCTGGTAAGCAAATGAGTTAGTTAACATTGAAAAAAAAAAAAAATCCAATTAGAAATTTTTTATCCATTTAAACAAAGTTACAAATTAAATCAGTAGATGTGCCTACTCTAAAATTTTACTACATTAACAGAATCTGTGCATAAGATAGAAAGAGCTAAGAGACTAACTTCATAAAAACCAGACTATTATGAATGAAGGAACTCCCAAGGCTCAAAATTTTTCAGTAACATCCTGTCTTCAAAGAAAGAACCATTTTTAGAGTGCTTTCTATATACCTGATACTATGGTTCAAGCACTTTAAAAACATTATCTCATTTAATCTTCAAACAATAAGTAGGTATCACCCTATTTAAAGGAAAACAACAAAACCTGAGATCTAGAGTGACTAAGTAGAGTCCTGGTATGGTGCTGCAGGAAAAGCACTGAACTGGTAACTTCAAGGTCAGCGGTTCAAACCCACCAGTCACTCCTCAGAAACCCTACATTTGGTGGCTACAAGTAGCAATCGATTCGATGGTCCTTAACGCAACAACAGTGATAAAGTAGCATGCCAATTCCAAAGCCTGTGTTTTTACTGTATTCCAAGCTTCCAGTACACCAAAGCCTTCAAAATAGTAGATACTCTGCCTCAAAGAATGCAAAAGAAGAGCATATATGTTTAGGGATGAGTGAACTGTAAGTCAGGCCATGTGGTAAGGCACTTAGGAAGTCTTTGAAGAACATGATAAGATATCGATATTAAATACAAAATGTGAAATTTTCTGACAAATCAGATACCATAGGAATTATTTTAACAGTTGTCAAAGTTTTACAACAGGAAACCATTTATAAAACATTTTAATTATCCATACTTCTTCTGGAAATTGTAGAAGTGTGACAAAATTTTAGTAGAGCATCATAATACCAGTCCAGGGATTACATATAAGGGATCCATAGGAGTACCGTTTCAAAACCACTAATTTAGTTATTTTGTCCCTCTCTTCTAATGGAAAACTTTTCAGTTCACTTAAGAATCTTCTGAGACATTTGTTGTCAAGTACTGTTGAGTCAGTTCTGACCCACAGTGACCCTGAGGAGCAACTGGTGGGTGTGAATTGCCAACCTTTATGACTTAGTAGTCAATAATTATGTGTTTGAGAATTTTTCTTGATGCTCCATTTTTCTTTTCCACATAGGCAGAAATATCCTTAAAAAATTTTTATTCACATCATCACTTTGTATAATACAAGTATCCTATAATTCTTATTTAGAAGATGTTGTTGTTGTTTTTATGTGCTGTGGAGTCGGTTCTGACTCATAGCGACCCTGTACAGGGTTTCTGAGGCTGTAAATCTTTACGGGAGATTTCTCATCTTTCTCCCACGGAAAAGCTGGTAGTTTCGAACTGCTGACCTTGAGGTTCGCAGCGTGATTCATAACAACTATGCTACCAGAACTCCTTATATTTATATTTAGAATATAAACAACCTGAAATACAATTACACTTAATTTCTAGCAACTTATTACTTACAAACTGGTGATTACCCTTTTACCTAATAAAAATTAAAATTCACGAGTAAACAGTAAGAAAACATGAGTGTTATATGATTCACCGAAGCCCCCAAATTTTGCCATTATTTGCAAAGCCAATTATATTTGAAACTTTGCCATTTCACCCATTATGTTAAATAACAAAATGAACTTTTTTCTTGTATCACTCTAATTTCTCTTCTCACATACACACTAAACTGTACTATTTCTATAAACTTTCAATTTCAGGTTTATTTTGGCTTAACCTAACCTCCTTGCTGTATGTGACCTTTTTACTTTGTTCTTTGCCAACAAATTAACTATTCTATTCTTTCCTTTCTGTCAATTGTCATGTCCATCAATTGGGCAGTCTACTAGATAAGAACAATTCCCAATAATAAATTATTAGGAGTAAGGAGTTTGGTGCTTCATGTAAATAGTTTGCTTCAGAGTTACAGTAAATACCACTGCTTTGTCCTAAAATTTTGTCCTATCGTAAAAGCACTAAAAAGTGTATCTTTTCTAAGACTCAAAGAAAAAACTCAGTTTATCCTACATATTCATTTATTCTCTTTTTAAAAAACTCTCCCTTCCTAACTCTCTACCTGTAATGATGACTTGTCTAGAAGTAATGCCTTGCTTTGTGTCTCCACTTTGATTTACCTGGTGGAGTCTGCAGACAAACCAGACTGGGTCACATGACTATTATTACTAGCACAGATTCCAAAGTACAAATGTTACAGAGAACAAAGTATTTCACCAGAGAACCAACAATGTTCACATGAACACACTACTCCTAATTTTCCCCACCAATTTTTGCTTACAACTAACAGTACTTGTAAGAACCATAAACGTTAGAAATCTGATATTACAAATGCTGCCTAACTACTCAAAAGATCTGTCTCAGTCAAAACATCATTTGGAAAAACTAACATTCTGTTTACTTGCATTAAGCGTTTACCAAGTAGTAATAAAGGCTATATCAGTGAGGGCTGCACATCAGTAGTAAATTATCACTGCCCATGCAGGATTAATTTCTGACCAATCCACCTCACCTGCAGCCACCAACCATCTATTAGTGGTAGCTTACATTTTGTTATGCTGCTGAACAGGCTGCAGCAGTGTATCCAGACTAAGAGACACCAGGAAGAAAGGACTGGCAATGCAGTTTCAAAAATCAGCCTATGAAAACCTTATGGGTCACAATGGTTCCATTCACAACTGATATGGTAGTAAGAGCAAGACTGGGTAGGGTACTGTTCCATTGCATTACACACAGGGACACCATGAAATGGGTGAAAGTGGAGGTAGATTCAACAGCAGCTAACAACAACAAAGGATATCAAAAGCATTTGTATTCTTCAAACTCCATGACTTTTCCATTTCAGGCCATACCATTCAAATACAATAGAAGCTGAAAAAATTTAGTATCACTTTTGGAGTTATTATTTTTATGTACCGTTTTATAAAATACTTAAAAGTGCATAGAAAAATATAACTCAAGTCTATTGGCAATTATTACAATATTAATAACAATCAACAGAATTAGCAAAACCTGTCTTTCCATGGAAATTATTTGGAGTGTGTTGTTGTTAAGTGCGATCGAGTCTGTTCTGACTCATAGCAACCCTACATAGAGTTCCCAAGGAGCAGCTAGTGAATTTGAACCTCTGACCTTGTAGTTCAAACCAACCTTGCAGCCCTGTGCTTTAATCTACAGTGCTACATGAGGGAAAAAGAAAAGGGAGGGTTGGTGGTGGACATAATTCCATGTCCTAAAAAAAGGACATGGTAATCAAATACTTAACTGAGGTCAGATTACTCCCAACTTCAAAAAGAATGTATTTCTAAACTAGGCAACAAAGAAATACTTGAATCACTCAAATATCTCAAAGCCTCACACTTTACTATATGATGTACTAGAAGACATTTTCAGTTGAAATAAGACAAAATCAACCATCAAGGTAGTATACTACTCATATGAAAGAGATCTGGAGGTAATCTAGTCCAACCCTACTTGATGCATTGTAACTCAGGGAGCAGATTATCCAATAAGCAAACTATATATTAGTAAGTAGGCACAAGTTAGCCCAGAACTACCTTGCTTGCTAAGTATTCCATCCCTGTTAGAGATAGTAAATTTTAAAAGAAGCTTTGAATCTGTAGGAAGGTTCTATCAACTTGGGAAAGAGACTACTGAAAAGCAGAATCTTCAATGTTGTGAAAAAACATGAAACTGTTTATTACAGATTATTAAGAAGTAAGCAATAAGCCCAATGCTGACCTTGCTTACTAGGTAATCAGATGCTGGTTTACAATAAAGTACAGTAATTTTTGTTCAGGTTTAGGACTATAAACCAATAAAAAAAAAAAAAAAAGGCTAATATTATGTAAGCATTTTAAAAAGCTTTCTAAATTAAAATGCAAACACTAGAAAGATTATTGCATCAATATTTGAGAATAGTAAATTAGAAGGAATATGCAAAATATGCCTAAATATTCTAAATATGTGAGATGTTTTCAAATAAGAAACACCATGTCTTAAGGGGCTCCCTTTCTCATGCTTCTCCAGCTATTTCAGAAAGCTTCTCAACCTGGACTTTGGATTGGCGCTGTGGATCAACACTGGACTGCAAACTACAAGGTTGGCAGTTCAGACACACCAGAGTTGCTCCTTGGAAACTCTATACAAGGTCACTTTGAGTCGGAACCCACTGAATGGCACACAGCAACAACCACTTACATAGTCCATGCACGCAGAGTGTGGTCTTAGCTCTTGTGGCAAAGACCATGAACACTGAGACAGAAACGCCAGTGCCTGATTCTTTCCGCACTGCAATTTGGCCGGTCAAATGCTACAATTCAGAATGCTGTACTCAGTGGTATCAGAACCTGATTCAGCGTAAGAAGTCTAAAGAAAGATTTTATATAAATATTCTAATTGTTTGAATATCTTGCTTTATTTCCCCCTTCTCTCATTAAATGCAGTAAGAATGTTTCTCAAATATTGGCACATTTCCTACACAAGTAAATATTTCTAACCTAATTAGTGTTTCCTTTCTAAAAAACTTATTTCATATAAACTTCAAACCAAGGAACTTATCATAAAACAGTAAGAAACAAATGTGGCAAATTCAGAGGGGAAAAAAGAGATTCCAAAATAGTCATGAGGATGAATTCACAGCAGCCTCACCTGTACTTTCATGGGCAGTCAAACATTTCATCCATTTCTTTTTCCCCAGAGAAAAGAAGCATTCAGAAGAAAAGCAAGTCAGATATAGTCTAACTCCTCTAGCCTTTATGCAACTAATAGGACAAATGTTTTCAAAGAGATTATAAAATATGTAGAAAATACTTACCTGGACTTGAAGACTCAACAGATGGCTGAGGGGAGAAAAGAGGAAATATTAGCATTTTTGTGCAGTATATCTCTATAAACAATTATTAAGGAATGACTCAATGACTACTACACCACCAAATACTTTGACAGTGTCTTTTAATGTCTCAGTCGCCGATGACAAACTAAATTTCCTAATTCTTTCCCTGACATTATATTTAAGCACAAAGACATACTCAAAAACACTCTTAAATTGGGTTGAATCGGGCATGAGCCATTGTTTAGGAAGCATTGAATTTCTTTTTATGGTGATGGAAAATTTGTCAAAGGATAATGGTGATGGTTGCACAATCTGACTAATACAATTTATGTAGTAAATTATGCATGTGAAATGCATTTAATCAGCAAATATTAAGTTCCATATTTTTTTAAATAAAAAAGTCACTCCTAAATCTGGGTAACAATTGATTTATACTTTAAAGGAAAACATGGATGTCATGAAATTCATAGTTTAAGAGACATGACTTTAGTCTTTAAATTTTCTGAAATATCTATCAATACAAAGAAAACTATGCATAAGGTTTGCTATCAAACTAATCTGTCTCAAAAATGTGTTGAGGAACAAATTCAAGACATAACTTCAAATAAAAATTAGACTGTAAAAGAACACAGAAAGTAAAGTATTGAACAAGCACCAGATATTGCTTTGGTGAACATTAACTCTAGTATTAAACAACACACTTGTTACCACAGAATTAGCATCCTTTCAAGCTAAATCTAAGAAAGGTTATATCATCTAATGATATATTATAGATAAGCAATTCTAATTTTCTAAGACTGTACCATTCTACCTCTCATAAATTTAATCACACCTGGAAAATGTAACGATAGAATTAGTAGCAACATGTATTAGCCATGTCAGTTTGTGTTGACATCTTTTTGTCTGTTTTATCTATACTCAGTTAATTAACAATCATAAACAAGTCATCTACAAATTCCTATAAGACAAAATTCAATACCAAAAAAATTTTAAATGCTTCAAATGACATGGACTTTATAACTAAAACCTTGCCTATTCGTTCAAAACTATTTGTTGACAGAGATAGTGGAAGGCCAAAAGTACTAACAAAAACAGGCAGAGCTTTTTGTGTTTTCCTTCTTTCAGCTCAGTGATAGTACAGACAGCCAAAGAGAACAAAAACAAATGGGGAAAATGACCAAATTTCAAAAGGTAGGTACTGAAGACAAATTCTTACAAGACATTAAAACTCCTTTCAAAAACTGTACACATTATGCTATTGCTATTCCAATATTCCACAAGAAGTATGCTGTTACAGATTCAAGATGGTGACAGGTTTTTTTTGACTCACTTTTTCCAGTGTCCCAGTTTTTCCTTAAAATTCTTAAAAAAGGAATAGTTGTTGTCTACATCAGTATTGTCTTTATAACAAAGAAATGAGAAGACCCAGTATTATAATATTCTCAGTGTCATTCCATTAGAGTCCTACATTCCCTCAAAAAATGTCATTATTTATAAATGATTCTACAAAACAGTCAATATAGTACTGCTAATTTTTAATTCCGCAGGTGCTGTAGGATAAGCACTGGACTGCTAACCCCAAGGGTGGTGATTCAAACCCACCAGCTGCTCCGCAGAAACCCAATACAGAGTCCCTATGAGTTGGAATTGACTGACAGCACTAAACAAAAACAAAGATTTACAGCCTCAGAAACCCTATACAGAGTGTCTCTATGATTCAAAATTGACTTGATAGCAGAGAATATGGTTTGGGTTTGAATGGAAAACTGAATAGGGTGACATGGTGACATCTTTGAGTAGTATACATCTCTGGCTCAGAATTAAACTACCACAAAAATTATTACACTACAAATCAATATTTTAAAATATTAATCCACTTGTATTTCAAGCAGTTATACTTCTATTTCTCAAGTATATGTAAAACGTATGGCCCCAGGTTTATGATCTACTAAGTAAATACACTTTTTAAACAGCTGCGTGGTTTATACAAGAAAAACCATTATTTCTTACAGATTAGCCTTAAAGAAATGGTTCTTTCAGCATTTAGTTTATTTTGAACACGTATTATCGAATAAGGTGTTGATAAAAATGTCTTTGATATATAAAAAAGTTACTTTACTAAAAAATAGAAGATTTTCCTTCCCTGACACTGGATAATACAATAACAGATACTGGATTACGAATGGAGTGAGTCTGTGTACTTTAGTTTATAAAAGACCCAAACAGCACTAAACACCAATAAAATACTAATTATTTTACTATTTAACTGTTAACTACCTTAAAGTTCTAGAAAAGTTTACAAATACTTTCCATTCATTAAAACAATTTATGTTCAAAATAAAATTCTATTGTATCAGTTTCTAGGGGTAGGGGAATTCCTTTCTTTAAAGTTAATTATATCCAATTATGCCAAAGACCAGCTTTTGGAAATCTAACCACTTGAAAAAGTTCATATTTTAAACATTACTTTGTCCAGCGAAAACAAAATGAGTATCTTTTAAGATATAAAAATGTTAGTTTGGTATTATTATATAGATTTCAGTATGAAATGAAATAGCATTTTTAATTTACGCATAAAAGAGAATAGCAGAACCAGCTTACATACTACACATTTTCAAATTCAAATGTATAAGAATATAGTTACTTGATTATGAACTTAAATCTGGCAATAATACTTGCCATGATAACTTCATTTTATAGAACAGCATGACCAAGGAAACAGAGACTTGACCATGGTTCCATGTCGGATAGTAAAGACAGAAGAGATTCCGCCTTAAGTGTTCCTTTTATACCTCCCAGAGAAACAACTATGTAAAAAATTTCTTTCTTTACCTTGCTATTCTTTCCTTCTTAACCCTCTCATTCTTTTTTCCTTTAATGTTTTTCATGTTCCAAGCATGTTTAAAATGTGCCCACAAGTTGTCTTCTATCATATCAGGCTCATGTTTCTTTAGGAACTGGTATCTCTAGCAACACCCTCCAGAAAAAATATGCAACAATCACGGCACTGTGGGTTAATGCAACAGACTGCAAAACCGTTTGAACTTCAAGGTCGGTGGTTCAAGCTCACCAGGTGCCCCCTTGGAAACCCTATATAGAGTCGCTATGGGTCAGAACTGACTCAAGGGCACTTAACAACAACAACACTATTAACTAGTAATGCAAATTGGGAACGAAGATGGAGAGAATTAAAAAAATAAAAACCTACACTAAAGCTGCACCAGTACTCATTTACAACTATGCCCGTCTTCAGAAAAAGTTCCAACTGTATGGATAAAGAGGAATTAAAATTTGGGATGAAAACACATTTTAAATGTATTCAAACAAGAATACATTACTGGTAGAGGAGTTGATTTAACCATTTCGGTGATTATCAACACAAATTTACCCTACAAATATACCTGGAAAAGTACAAAAGGTACATCAAGCATATTTTCATTTTTTAAATATTACTCTAATGTTGGTCACAGTAAAAAGTTGGAGAAAATGCAAAAATCCATCATTTTAATTAGTCAGAAATAAAATATAACTCGTCCAAGCAAGGGAGCACTATAAATCTATTAAAAAGAATGAGAGAGATATTTGTGTTGATAGAGAAAAAATTGCTGAAGATACATTGTTGCTATTGTTCAGAGTTGTCAAGTCAGGTCCAGCTCACAGCAACCCTATATAGGGTTTCCGAGGAGGCTGGTGGGTTTGAACTGCCGACCTTGTGGTTAATAGTTCAGTACTTATCCCACATGCCACACCAGGACTTCAAAAATATATTAGGAGTTAAAATAAATAACTGCAGAACAAGAAATAAGTAAGGTTGGTGTATATATAAAAAACATTTTTTTTCCCCCCACAAAAGGAAACACAAGAATCTGTTAACAATGCTTACCTATACGAATAGCCATGGAGGAGAGAATTTTTTTCAGTTTATCCCTTTCTGTACTCTTGGAATTTTTTTAACCACTTGCTTGCATGCATCACTTTCTTTGAGGTACTGCTGCTACCTTGTAGAATTGTGAATCATTTTTATTTTCTTCCTTTATTTTTTGATTCTAAGAAAACCTAGTGCTGGTACAATTTTTATAAAAATCTATAAACTTTGAAAATTCACCTAGTTTTTTCTGTTTAAAAAAAACACAAACAAACAAGCCTGTTGCTACTGAGTCGATTCTGACTCACAGCAACCCTACAGACAGAGTAGAAGTGACCTATAGGATTTCCAAGGTGTCCTAATGTGGTGCTGGGAGTCAGGATCTGAAACCCAATAGCCCCTCCTCAGAAACCCTTTACAGGGTCACTGTGAGTCAGAACCAACTCAACAGCACTTAACAACATACTATTTCTTTCTAATGCTGTCATCTTTATGGAAGCAGACTGTCACACCTTCTTCCTGAGAAGTGGCTGATGGGTTTGAACTGCTGACTTTTCCGTTAGCAGCCAAGTGCTTAACCACAACAACATCAGGATTCCTAGTTTTCTATTACGTACACATATAATTGTTTTATATTAGATGAAAAGCATTACACTAAACACAGAATATGAGTGTTGTTGTTGTTAAGTGCCGTCGAGTCGGGTCCGACCCATAGCGACCCTGTACAGGGTTTCCGAGGGTGTAAATCCTTACGGGAGTAGAAAGCCTCATCTTTCTCCCGCGGAGCAGCTGGTAGTTTCGAACCGCTGACCTTAAGGTTCGCAGCCCGATTCGTAACCACTACGCTACCAGAGAATATGAGTAGGCAAAATAAAAAACACTACTTTTTATTGTCATCTTCATATTTTTATGCATTTTAGCTGACCAAGTTGTCACGTGTTAACAGCAAACAAATATTTAATGCCTCAGAAATGTTCAAATGCTTCTCACTTACATTTTTCTGAAACACAAATGGGAAATGTCCCATACAAAAGAAAGTTATGAATTGGGAGAAAATAAGCGGATTAACCAGAATATTATTTTCACCAAAAAAAAGGGGTGATATAAACACTAAGTAATGGTGTGGTACTATAGGATAAGCA